AAAACATACCAACTATTCAACTCTTACCACTAATTAGAAAAAGAATTCCATAACAAATTAAAAATAAGAAAAATTATACACTGAAAACAAAAAATTTTCATATCAAGTAAATATGTAATTGTTGTAGAATCAAATAAATAATCATTTATGCTCAGTAAATAATTAATCTCATCAAAAACAGCCCCCTCTTTCTGGGCTGTACAAAAATATGCGCCAAACATAAATAACGACAATGATGAAATTACAAAAAGTCCTAAAATCATTAAACGCCAATTATTTAAATCTACAAATCAACAATATTTAAAATGAATTATTTTCTTCGGGTTTTTTTTTGAAAAAAAATTTAGTACGTTTAATGGCACAATAAACATAACAACCAAAAACTTGGCGTGACTGTTATTTATTAATTGGCTTAAACATTTTCAATATTTTCACAATTTCATGCTTTTATAAAATCTTACCAGTCACGCCAAGTTTTTGGTTGTTATGTTTATTGTGCCATTAAACGTACTAAATTTTTTTTAAAAAAAAAACCCGAAGAAAATAATTCATTTTAAATATTGTTGATTTGTAGATTTAAATATTTGGCGTTTAATGATTCTAGGACTTTTTGTAATTTCATCATTGTCGTTATTTATGTTTGGCGCACATTTCTGTACAGCCCAGAAGGAGGGGGCTGTTTTTGATGAGATTTCACCATTTTTTGTACATATCAACTGAAAAGGAATATTAAAAAAAAATTAATCTGTTCAGAAAATATTTTAATTATTTGTATATTCGCGCTCGAGCAAAATTAACTTGTTACCAACTTTATAATCTGTAAGTGAGAGAACTTCATAGCAATTAAAAACTCTGATCATCAACTTGATAAAAAAAACGTATGATTGCTCCATGAATAAACTCTCATTTTACTCCATTTTTGCGCAACGAAATTTTTTCAATTTCGTATATTATGAATGAAGCAATGATAATACTTCATAGTATGCTTAATCGAAAGTCAACGATCGCTTTCCTAGCAAATTCTTAATTTCAGCCTATGTTTATGTTATAATAAGAAAAAAATTTTTAGTTTAAAAATTATAACCTGCAAAAATCATCTTATAATTTGTATAGAGACACGGCAGTGCCTCGTCGTGACGTAAGGGCTAAATGGCGGCGATTTATGCTTGGCGCACGAGACACTACCGTATCTCTTGATTAAAATAAATATTTAATAATCTATTAATGAATTATTTATTTAGCACTAGAGACTATTTATTTGATCTTACAGCAATCATAATATTCTTTGATTACTTATAGTTAAATTTTTCAATGAAAAAATACTATTAGACATATAAATAATAAATTAAATACATTATACGTGTTTATAATGCATTTTACTCTTTAACGAATAATATTTTAATCAAGAGATTAGTTTTAGTGACTTTAAGCTTGTAGCAAGAAGACATTGTCTAAAAACTTTTTAATTGCCTCGAAGCTTTCAAGAAGAATTTATAAGTTTAGTACGATACAAAAGAGGAAAGAAGTCGCTTCAAGAACAAATGTATAAAGTTTAAAATTTTCTGTTATTTGTATTTTATTGAAAGAAAAAAATAAATAAATAAAAAGGAACTGATCAGCATTTGGATAAAATAGTTTTATTTTTGTAATAGTGACATCTTGATTACTAGGTCAATATTTTTTTCATGACTTCTATTCTTTTCAAACTGGAATTCAACCTTGGAACTTGAGCTATGCGCGTGTGGACTCAATAGACAGGGAAATAAAATAAGGGCACACCATCTCAAATTCCAAAGGGAGAAAGGGGAGGATGAATAAAAATACAGCCTCCCTACGATGTAGCAAGGACGTTTGATTTTATATTCTTGTTGAAGGGCACTACTATATGACCATACCATACCGGCTCTTTCTCGTCACACTCGGGAACGCCACACGTAAAATTACAATCCTTTCGAGCTGAAAGGGGCGTTGCTGACCAACGGGGCGAACAATGTGCGGATTTATACCAAACGCAACCCTTATTCTATTCCACACGTTTCACGACACACTACCGACCTACATGTATATATAATGAGAAAGAGGAAACTAGAAAGCGTCATTGAAAGAACAAATTCAGATATATACACTGTATATTCAATTGAATGGCTTTCTGGAAGTTGCGCCTTTACTAGTCGCTAGGGTATCTCTTATACTTTGAAATCGTTCACTCGAAATGTAGTTGGAGCATAGTTCACTCTGAGCTTTCTTTTGTCTGTTCTCTTTTCCTTTCTGCAAGTGCCTTTTTGCACAAGAGTATACTATATATCCCATGGAGTCTTTTCGAGAAATGACTACAGATATTTTAACATTCTATTTTTTTCAATTATTTAAATTATGTCAAATGAAGTCACCAATAGTCAGCAGTTTTATACCAAGTCCACTTTTTATGTCCCATTGTGCATTCTTATTCTTATTATTCAGTCCGGATATATTTGGGGATCTCAGCACAATGGAAAAAATAGTTCAACAAGAATCATTATGAGATGACGGAGTAATAGCTAATATTTTTAATTCATTGTGTTTCTGATGTTGGTGAAGGAAAGGAAAGATTTTATGGATATTTTTTTTTTGTAATATTTATAACTTCCTCATGAAGGAGTTGAAAAAAAGAAAAAACATTGACTTGCCTCATTAAAAAAATATTTTTAGAAAATTTTTCTTTTCTACTTTCTATTGAAATACTTTTTTTGTCTTTAATAGTTTTTAACAACAATGAACTATATTTTAATTATTTTCATTTATTATGAATACGAAGAATAAGTTAGCATGTTGAAGATAGCTTTTTGGATAAGAATGATATAATTTGGTAAAATAAAGAAGATAAAGATGAATGTATGAATACCATTAGTTAAGAATATGTAACATTCTTAACTAATGGTATTCCTTTAGCTGTTTGTTGGAGAATATGCCAAAGAATACTTTTTTCTGTACTTGTGTGTTTAAGCAGACTACCTTGTTAAAGGTAAGCTGATTATTCTCATATGTCTGAGTGAACTTCAGTTTACGTTTTAAAGCTTGAAAAGTCAAACAAATAGAAAAAAAATGTTTTCGTTACTGATGCAATTTTTTAATAAAAATTGCAACCATATTATTAAAAAAAAATTTTTTTTTTTCTAATTAAACAAAGAAATATTAATAATGTCATCAGAGAAATGCTTACTTAATTGGAAGTATTTACAGTATAAAACACTCAGTGTCTTATCATTGCACTTTTATATGTAATGGGTCAATTATAAATTACGGAAACTAGTGGTCATCTATTGGCAAACAACTGTATTACTTACATTAAGTTGGGAATCATTGCACACTCTAGATAAAATGTTATCCATTCAAAATTTAGAATAAAATGTTACTTTTATAAAATAATTTTTCAAAAATTTTGAAAGAAGTAAGTTATTATATAAGAGTTTAAGAATTTTTTCGATTGAAATATTTTCTTGGCAAAAATGAAAGTAAAAAATTGGCAAGACTCTTAAAAGACTTTTAACATTTTTTTAAAGAAAAATCACGAGCTGAATGGTCTATATCTCTAAAGATTAAACTGTCTCAATAATTTAAACAATATTCACCAATATCAGTTATCAGCAGCAATTTAATTTGATAAAAATAAAAAATGCTGATTGTAAAATACATCAACAACTACTATCCTCACATTCTGAAATTAGAACAGTAGAGAAACAATTTATCTAAAATGTAATTTTTTAGAATTGGAATATTTGCATTGAAATAAAAAAATTCGACTGCTGAAAAGTCACAACTTGTTTAATTTTCCATCCCATTATTGAGATCATACTATAAAATATTCTTGTCCTCTATCGTCGCAATATTCATAAAATTAAATGATTTTGAGAGCTTCATCATAATACTTCTGACAAGAATTTTATGAAAATTCTGCAAAGCTGATTCAACTCATCGGAAATGAAAAACCTCGTAGACGTTAATCGAGCGTTTCGTGATCGTTTAATATACTATCTCGTAATACTCTAGTAAGTTATATCTAGATTTTGATCTAAGGAACAGAGGCAAGCGAGTTGATTCGCCGTTTAGAGACGTAGTCGTTTGAAATCACCCTTTGGAACGTTCAAGTTATGAAGTTTGTGAACGACTGATAAAAACTAAATCATGCTTACGTTGCTCGTCGTTAAAGATGAAAAGGAGAAATCTGATTCGTTAAAGTGTGAATCGATAAACGATTTTATTTAAGCATATTCCTTATACTCTTTTTCATCAAAGGCATAAATAAAAAAGTTCTCACTGACGATGAGAAAGAGAAGCGATGAACGAGAGTTGAATATTTACGAAGTTGGATTCTTACATGGTGGAATTGACAATTTCTTTGCAGGATCCTCTAGTCAACTGACTTGCTAGGATATGGATACGAGAGTCAGTTGTTAGGAAAGAATATCGGAAAACGATCTGCAGTATGTTGTGTAGGTTTCACTAGTGTGTTCTTTCTTCTTTTCTTCATTCTACTTGACTAGTGTTGATCGTTTTTGTGCACAGCTTTAAATGTGAAAAAGGACAAATCAAAAGACTAAGGACTGGTCCTTTCAACGTAGATAGCGATAGAATTCTGTCACCCCGTTCTTTCCTTGAATAACCAACCAGCTGACACTGAAAACTTCGTCCATTATCGTCGTCACTGGCAATGTTGCGCCCAGTCAACTTGGAAAATGGAGTGAAATATCGGGTAACGATCCACGGGACTTCTTTTCCTTCATTGAAAATTCCATGAAGGGCTTGACTGCGGGAGACAGAAGGGGCGTGGGTGGCTGACAGGCCACCATCAGCGAGTCAGTTAGTGAAAACACCTGATAAATTTACTCTTCCTTTGAGGTTTTTGTGAAAATCGCCGAGGTAGCGAAAACTTTTCTGAAGAGATGACTTTTTACCGATTTTCATGGATATAAGAGGGAGGAAATACGCAAAAGAGAGACGATATATATTCAATGGCTGTTATACTCGTTCCAACCCCTACGATTTTTTTTTATTATTCTTCTATGATAGTCAAACTACTCGTTTCTGTTCGAAAACCTCGTGGTTTAACTCCTCTTCCATTTAAATCGAGATTATTTACTTTTTTCTTGTATGCAAAATTTTTGCTTCATTGATTTGAGACTGTTGATCGCACTGAACTGATTGTTGTCATTCGGACTTAACGTATCAAGGCCAAGGAATCCACAATACCTGAAACGATAATGAAAATTAATCAAACTCGAAGTTACTAATAAGATTAACCACACTTTTACTGCAAAATTAGAGGTGCGAAAAATAAGATTCTCAATATAGAATGGCCCCAAGACCTCTAACTTATAATAAAATAAGAATTAAAACTACAATTTATAAAATAATCTTGAGAATGTTCCTCTCACTATTGCATCTATTAGCTTACAGTTTTACCCAAATTATTCACATAGTTCAATCATAATTCAATTAGATTACTAATGTTTTATCAATTTCCAAGACCTGGAGAAAAAATTGATTTGTATTCTTTTTACTCAAATTTCCTTTCCAAAAAGCTCTAAGATATCATTTAATTTACAAATAATATGATTGAATTGAAGAATATTATCTAATAGAGAAGTTACACATGTTTTTTATGATCACCCTGACTTAAATAGTTAATGATTTCACGTAAGTAAGATAGAATATTCTTGATAGAGTTGAAGTATTTGTTATCTTTTATGATCTTTTTTTTCATTTCAGTTTTTATTCTGAATTTATAAAAATAATTTATAATGCATTATAAATAAAACTCTTACTTAAATAAAAGCTTTGATTATTATTTTAAGCAGAATAAAATTTTTTCATTCACTGAATTTAACGAAATTAAATGTTTTTTTTTATTGAAATAAATGTAAATCTAAAAGGCTCTAAAATAAGAATAAAATATAAATTGAATGTTATAATTTTAAATGCAAAGCATGAATTCTTGAATGGTTTTAAACTAATAAAATTATATTTTTAATTACACAAATGAGTTTAATTTTTCTTTTGATCTATAAGTAATAAAACATATTTTCTTTATATAAAACTTGAATTGCAATTTTTATCAGTTAATCTTTATTTTTTTGGTCCTTGTAGGAGGTTATTGTATTAATAATAGTAAGTTAATAAAACAATTAATATTATCAGATTAGATAGTTTGAATAAATAATTTAATGATAAGATCAAATACTGCTACTAACTTGTGTTAATAAACTTTTATAGCTTATTATTGAATTATTTTAAGTGGGATTCATTTTGTTCATATACTTCCTTGTTTAATTCTTATTTAAGTCATGTGAGAGCTATAAATTAATAAAGTACGGGTTGATGATAAATTTCACAGTAATGTAAGTAAAAAAAATAATTATGTACACTTTCTTAATGAAATTTAATTTTTATTAAGTTATCATACGGTTGTTAACTCCATGACCTTCTTAACATTGAAATAAGTGAGACTTTTTAATTATTACAAATGAAAAATAATTACCTAGAGATAAGCTGAAAAACAGATCTGCTTTTTTTAATCGGCTATTCGCAAATTGTCCATACATCTTGAAATGAGTTTTGATCTTTCCCTCTCTCTCTTTCTTTCCTTCTTGCTCTATCAATCTTCTGGCTAGCTCGTGAAAAGAGCAGTGTTGGCATTTCTTTCTTACTGTTGCGAAACATTTTTATGTCATATAATATTTATGTTTAACAGCGACCAATTTTCAACTTCTTATTGTAAGTAATTCTTTTTTTTTTTTTTAGTGATGCATCAATGCATAACTCATTCATGAAAAGAACAATTAATACATCAAACTTAAAATTGGATAGTATTTTCTTAGTTGATTAATTTCTTATTGTTGAACTAAACGAGAATGCTAATGAATCAATGTAATTAAAGTAATTCGCAAATCTACTTTTAAAAATTTTATTCAGTTAAATGTTACAATTAGATGTATTAATCACTAGTATTTACATTAAAAATCAAATGAGATTCACAGTCCCGCTGTTGTAAAAATTCTTAATTCATTCAATTCAGTATCGAATTATGTAATTTTTCCTTAATCTTCGTTAATCTAAAGTTCCAATAAAAATTGACTTACCATTTTAACCAAGGTTCCATTAGTCCAATGAAAGAAACTTAATCTTGATTAGCTTTCTTTTAATTACTCATTCACTTGCAAACTAATCCTTTTTTTATTTTATAAGTAAATGTTATAGATGGAATCAATAACATTCAGTGTCTAAACAATATTACTAATGATACTTCGAGCGATATCGATTCTAAAAATAAAGTGGTCCAATGATAGGAACCTTTTCGAAAGCAAAAAAAAAAATGAAAGAATCAAAGGTAAAAAAGCCGGTTACTTGTTTCCAATGCTTGGTGATGCAGCCAGCTGATTCGGAAAAGTTCGTGTTGGTTCGCCAAGAGCCCGGCGATTGTGAATGTGTGGCTGGTTAATAAAATCGCGAAGGGTCGAGAAGCGAAGGAGAAGGAAAGCAAGCATACGGTATAGCGACAGTACGCGACTGCGCTATAGTGACAGCCAAGTCCCAGCTGACTGGCCGGTCCTCGGTTAAATTCGCGATCCTTCGTGCGGGTTCGGACTTTTGTTCGTGCACCAAAGTACCGGCGAGCAAAACCTCACTGTCAGTTGACGCTGTAACATCGAAGAGATATAACGGTGCTACTCTTGCGGACGACCATCGTGCACCGAGTCAGAGACCGAAAGAAGTGGAAATAGCAAGAGTGAAAGACCAACGCGGTGGAAGCAGATGATGTAACGACGTGAAACATAAGATAAAAGAAGGAAAGAAGATAAGACATTATGAATAATAAATCCAAGTTTGTTAACATAAAACAAAGAAGAAACCGAGTCACAACGACAACGATCAACATCTATTTTTTTTTGTAAAATAAAACACTATTTTGACGCGAAAAATTATTTGCTCCGGTTTCATGGAACAAAGAAGAGAGGAAACACGGCTACACGAAGGCAGAACGAGGTCAGATAGTAGTCACACCGGTGGAGATAATTTTTTCGTCGCGTAAAAATAATTTTTTGTGATAATATTATCGTGATAAAACAAAAAGAACAATTGTCGGGGAAGCAGTGAATTTTGAGAGTAAATATTCAATGAAAGAGTAGGACACTGTTCAGTTTTGCAAGTTAGCGGCATAGGTTAGCGGTTCAGTGGAAACTGTGATATAGTCGCGGCAGGCCATAACACTTAATGACCTGTATAATGTTTTGACGGTTCCTCATTTATTCATTTGCCTTGTTTCAATGATTTATATTGTAGTTTTTTATATTGGTGACACTCTAGAATTTGTAAGTGCAGGAACAATTTATTAATTATTCGCAATAAAACTTTGATTAAAACTGGAGGAACATTTGGCTGGACATTCTCCGCAATCGGAGAGAATCTTCCTCAAGAAAATCGGCGGGAAACGGTGAGTTTTTTACACATACGAATATGCATATTTAATTCTATACTCAAGTGCCATTTTTATATGCTAATTTTTATTGCCACCCTCATTACGAATATATTCATCCTTATTAAATCTCCTTGATATTTTAAATTCAATTAAAATGTGTGAAATAAGTGAATGAAGTGATTTTTTGAACTTAAAATTCTACACAACCATGAGCGCACAAAAAATGAAAAATTCAGTACACTGGTAAAGTTGTTGATTAATTTTACTATCATATTCATAAGCTAATATTCTGATACATGAGATTATCATCGAAGTTATTATCAGTTGCCATTGAATAATTTGTAATTGACAATGTGATTTTTATTAGTGAACTAAAGAAATTTGTGTTAAAAAGTTTCATTCTGTTTTGGAGTTAAAATTGTTTGGTTTTGTTTGATATTGATATTGAACGTTGATTCACTATGATAATTTCATTACAGAATATATACATCATACTAATTTTAAAAGGGCGGCTTGTTTGAAATATTCTCTAAAAATGTGACTGAATGAAATAATTGTATTAAGTTTGAGTGTCACTCCAATCCGTTTTGAAAGGATTATACGAAAAGTCAAATGACAAAGTTTTTTTTTCCATCATAACTAAATTCTCTTGTTGTGAAAAACTTTTTTCGAACCAGTCAATACCAGTAAGTTTTCAAGAAAAAAATGAAAATAAAAACAGTGAAGAATGTTGGAAAAAATATATTAATTTACTGTTGAGTGTAAAGTCAGTTAAAAAAATATCCATACCAAATTATTGACATGTATTTTGTCGTGCAAAATGTTATTTTATTGTTTGAAGCATTTTTTTTCTGAAGAAATTCATTTCATAGTTCTGAATATTACTCTATTTCTACGTAAAGCATTCGAAATTCAATTGTACAAAAAAAAATTTATTGAAACTTTTCAACCAATAATTTATAAGAATTGTCAGTTGATGATGTGTGTCAAATAATTTCTCGGAATTAATTAGTATTTATAACAGTATTAGGTGTATTTTTTCTTCAAAATTAATTGATTATAATGAATCAATTAACAACATGATATTGTAAATTCATTTGTATGTATAAGCTGTCTCATTATCTTTCTTTATAATATTCGTCTGTGATACTTACATTAACTTTTATTGTCGAATTATCTAAAGTATAGATTTATGTTGATAAATTATTCACAATTGAGTGAGAACATGAAAATAAACACACAGTAGCAGTTCATGAATATTGATTCTTTCTAACGATCGAGCAAATGAATTGCGTGACTCTCGCACGTTATACTCATCGAGATCACTTAGCGTGCATCTTTATGTTCAATATCTCTCCTCCTTGTCTTCTACATTTCTTCCGACACTTTCATTATTCAAGATGACCCATTGTCCAAATTTATGCGGATACCAGTTATCTTTGCTCTCACATTTTGTGTCGAAACAAACTAACCGTAAGATTTCTCGTATAAATTTACTTAACTCTCTCTTCAAACTCTTTACACCAAAGTCAAAATTATTTAATAAAATAAAAAAAAAACAAATAACAAAGAATTTTTTAGAATTCATTTTTTTTCAAAGAAAATAACAGACTCCAATACAATAACTTTTTTCTGTGTAACAGTTTAAAAATAGCTGTAAAACATTCACAATTTATTTTTAAAAAATATGCGTCCTATGTTGGGTTAAAAATTATTCTTCAATAATGACCAAAATAACATAATTTTTTCCCCAGAAATTATGACTCGTGTTTTTTTACTAAGTATCAGTATAAGATACAATAGCTCTTCTGCTTTAAGAGAAAATGCATTTAAAATAATAGAATATATCATCGTGAAGTAAATATTTATTTACTTTCAAATTATATTATCTTTTTCAATAAGAACATTTTTTATATATATTACCTCGAGAGTCAGCTTTTATAAATATAATTGAATAAGAAACTACACATTGGAAGTTCCAGTTGAATAAGTATATAGTCAACTTTTTAAAGAAAATAACTCGAATTTTAACTATCTCTACACCATTTATTTACATAAAATGATACTTTTTTTAAAATTCAAACAATAATGCTTTAGCAACTGCAATTGGAATGAAATAATTATTCCACGAAATGATGTTGAAAAATTTCAACTACAAATACTCATTTACATACTTCTCCTTCATTCCATGCTTGAAACTTTAGGCATAGCATGTACTTAAAATCCGGATGAGCAGAGGTAATGGCCAAGTTTACGCGAGTTGTCGCTCGTACGTTTAGACTGGCTTCCGTCTTGATGTTCTCGCGACACGCTTTTGCGATAGTCTTGACTCTTCTCTTTCTCCATTCCTTCGATGTTAGGTCGATCGGGTTGTACACACGTTGCTGCAACAGAAGCGCAGCGAGATGGTCGATATCATACAAGAGGCATAACACAGCGTGCACGCGCTTGGCGATAACTCACCACGCATTGTTAACAGCCGCGGCGATGGCCTGTACATTGTTGGAATTCTCCCGTTCCGGAACGTTTAGTAGGATAGCCAGGAAATCCTGGAGAAACGTGGGGAATCCATGATGATTATTCACCGTGCGAGAGTTATACTCTTGAATATCCATATTTCTATATAGATACGTATGGATAATATATGTATCCACTGGGAATGTAGAATTACATTGAAATTTAATTTATTCACTGAATTATTCCAGACTCTCAAGCAATCGTAAATATGTTTATTTTTCAAAATTTCTTTTTATCAAAAATGCAATATAATTGAAATTTTTAACGCTTAAAGTATACAAGATGAAAAAAAAATAACTACAGATATTGCTATTTTAATGAGTGTTTATTGCTAGAACCAGATTATAAACCCACTAAGAAGTTAAAACAACCCTTCCCGTATAAAAAAATTTCGTTTCTCGATGTTTCCCTCGTGGGACTATGGGGAATCTTTGGGGAACAAAATTTTTTTTTTTTTGAAAATTTTTCTTTTCTACTCTAAACTTTATTTAAACATTATCTTCTTGCAAAAACAATATACATAATGAAATTAATGGAATTTTTCTGCATATTAATTCAATTAATTTCTTGACATTGACAATTAGATAGCTTAGTAATTACGTGAACCATCCTAATGTATATCTTTTTATTTACACAGTATTTTCCTAAAATTTAAAGTGCTTGCGTTGTTTGTTGTTAGCAGTAATGTTTTAATTTCATAATTGATTGTAAAATTCTTGATTAATAAAAAATTAAAGAAAGAGAAAAAATGATTGTATTGACTCCAAAATTATTCACACACAATTTATAAATAATCTCAGAAAACTCGCACTAAAATTTTAGAGCTTTACCATCCCCGGAATATAATTGTAGCTATTTATTGTTATTATGTGATAACTGAAGTATGATTCATACATGTTTTATATTACGTCGTTTTAATTAAGAAACTAATGAGTCATAAAAAAATGCCAATTAATATTTTGCCAGTGTTGTAATTATATTTGAGTAAAAATGTAAATTGCACATAATTATTTAAAATTACTTTTAAATTTCAGTACTTGGTGCAGAAAGAAAAAAATTCAATAGGAATTCAATCATAAAATGTATTTGAAGTAAAATAAAAAGAAATTTACATTTGCATTTCAACTTAAATTACCAGCTACTATAATTTTTGATGTAAACGTTATCAACGGTAATTACTAATTTTTATACAACTTTGGTGAAGGCTAATTTAAATATTTGACCCTGTACCACAGATGAAAGCAATAAAAAATGTAGTGTCCTTATGTACATGAGAATATTTTTAACTGGCAATTAAGGGTATGTTCGACAATATTTAAACCACTCATATTAGCCCATATAAACTCATTAAAAAAATTTATTTGCGCAAAGTAAATAATAATGATAATCATAATAATATTTTTCGGTACCTGAACATTATTCATAAATTTGATGAAACTTGATACAAAAGTACTGAGTTTCGTTTGCTTACATTTATCTACGACGAAATGTACTATTTACAAAAGAGATCTTCTATTGAGATAGTGAAATAGTAGGTCAAATATTTGAA